AAATTGTTCATAGGTCAATAGAACTTTTTTTAAACGTATGCCGATTGATTGGGATACATTCTATATTAAATATCTAACTCTTGAAAGTTTAATTTTATGCTAATTTCGACCCATTAAATTGTTCACAGTTGAAGTTCAAGGAGTTTGTAATAAAAATTATAATTCATCTAGATTTCCATAAAAATAGTAACAGCAACACAAAACTCGTGCTGATCGCTGCATGAAGAAAAAATAATTCTATTCACAATTCATTGAACATGATTGTGCTTATTTAACAGATTACTTTTATTGTTTATGCATAGCGTGAAATGAGATGACTGTTTATTCATCTTTGAATTGTTATGTTTTATTGACAATGCATACTTTTACTGTTACTCAATCCAATTTACGTAATTACAAAAAAATTCCATTAAAATCAAATAGTTTTCTACTTCGAACATTTAACCAATCTTTGTATATTGATAATTATTAGCTTTTCGAACCTATCAGATGTAGAAACATAACTTATGGGAATGGGGCGTGGGACATGATGCCTCCTTGCCTCTGAAATTCGTCCACACAACGCTCCTGCCTTTGAAAATTCTCAATGCGGTGCTCCCTTTTCTTCAGACTCAACTAAGCTCTGTCCCCGCCTGAAACCACCATGGCTAAATGGCTACGTTGTTCAACACGTGTTCATGAGGTACTGTGTGCAAACTTCAGTACCATCATCCATGGAATGATCCTGGACAAGTCACTAACGGCTATTTGTCTCGGATCACCTATTCAATAGTATGTTGACTACATTGTGACAAACACTTATTCTTGTAATCAGTTAGTGTGTATAGAGAACTCAAGCAATTGAGCATAAAAACTCTGCATCTAGTCAGTCTTTTGTCTAGAACTACTGCTAGCCATTGTTGTAGGAAAATTATCGGGCTGTGAAATCTTCCACTAGGCAACATTTCATACCGTAAGGTAGCAGAAAGGCAGGCGTATTCTTTTTTTCTTCCTTCCTTTCCTCTGTCTCCAGTGTGTTGAGTTATGTTTGCGATCAGATTTATGCATAAGACAGCTGACAACAGATATTTGATAGATAGATAAAAAGTCCTACATAATATAAATATTGATTTATATCTCTCGTATTTGTTAAGCTGTCTGATCTAGGGATATATGTGCTAAACGAGCTATATACTCATAATTATGTAGAATTTATTGACAATCAAAATGATCTATTTTGTTCATCTAAATAATATTAAAAAAAAAAGTATTTATTTCACTAAAATAATAGTTTTACATAATTCATTAAAACTTATTCCAGTAGATCGTAATAATTGTCTTTTAAAATTTGCAAATTCTTTCCACTGTTTATTTCTTATTGATAAATGCTTTGAAAATCTATGGAATGTCAAATATACAACAACAATAAAAACTTGTACAAAAACCATACATAAACTAATCTATATTCTTCTACAATCAGAAGAAAATAAATAAAATAATTAATATTAAATAAATGTTTATTTTCATTGATATTGAATTTGATATTAAATTTTTTTCTACTTGAATTACTGTTGAATTTTCTATACTTGTTAAATTTTTACTTTCTGTAGTATTTTCTAATGATTGTACATCAATTAATGTTGTTAATGTCGATGTTAATTGTGACTTAAGCTTTTTTCTCTTATCACGTGCTTTTAATTTTGCTTCACATGTTCCTTCGTATATTGCACGTTCAGCATCTGCCCAATTACAAAAATTTAATTTTGTTTGTTGTCCATATAAACAAACATCATATGAACAATTAGAAAACCAATTTGTTAATGTTGATATATAATATCGATCTTGTCCTTGTTGTGTGCATGTTAAATCATTATAATTATTTAAATATTTTTGAAATTTTATTAATGTACAATCACATTTTAAATTAATATTATTATTAATATCAATAATATTTATTTTATTTGTTGTTGTATTCATTAAACGACATAATAATTCATTAAATGTATTTAATGATATAAGATTATTTGAACGAAATATTAATTTTTCTAATGAAAATATATTTAAAAAACAAAATGCACGTAATGATGTATTATTTAAATGATGATTATAATCAAAATCAATGACACGTATAGCACGAAGATTTGATGCAAAATAATCATTAAGATAATAAATATGATTTGATGAAAAATTTAAAATTTCTAATGAACGACTAGATAGTTTAGGTGCATGTTGTAATGAATTATGTGCTAAATTGATAATTTTAATTTGTAAAAATGTACGAAGAAAATTATTATCAATTATACGTATTGAATTATGTTCTAGATTAAGTTTAATAAGATTATATAAACCATCAAATAAATGATCACATATTGTTGTTAAATTATTATAACTTAAATCAAGAATTTCTAAATAATAATGGCCACGTCCTACAGTTGTTTGATTATATTCATCAGTTGTATTTTGAATTAATTTTAATAATGTATTAATACTTGTATCATTTAAATGACATGATACAAGATGAAATTGTTTTAATACAGGTAAATTAAGAAGAATTTGACCTATATCCAAATATTGAAATTGATTATAAGATACATCAAATATTTCTATTAGAAAAAAAAAAAAAGAAATTTTTTTTTTGTATGTTTTATAATAAATGAACATAATAACAAAAAGACATACGTAAACTGACACCAGGTGATATTAATGTTTGATGATGAAGGTCTTTTAATTGATTATTATTAATCAATAATTGTTTTAAATTTTTAATTTGATCAAATGCTGTTATTTCAATTCGACGAATATAATTTGAATTTAAATTTATTTGTTCAACATATATATCAGCAAATACATAATTATCAACAGATGTTATATAATTATATGAAAAATCTAATGCATTCCAACGCATATTATTTGGTAATTTAGGTAATGAATGTAGTTCACTTTTAAGACAACGTAATTGAGATTCATGACCTGAATGATAACATTGACAACGAACAGGTAATATTAAATGTTTACAATCAGAAAATATATATGGAAATATTATATCTTGACTTATTGTTAAATGTAAAATAAATAAAAACCAAAAGAATATCATTATTGTTTTGTCTAAAAGAAAAAGAAAAAGAAAAAAGCAAATCAACGAAATAATCTTTGACTAAAACATCTATCATTTACTGCTATTATTAGACATTCCTTTCTTCTATCATTTATTATAATTTTCTACTCGACAATGAATGCAAAGAATAAATTATGATCATTTTCACACAGTCAGTCTGTTGACAATATCGAATGAAGACGAATGGACTTCTCTTGAGAATGTATACTATTGGAATGGATAAGTTTTTGTTATGTCTTTATTGATAAATATGAAATGTACGTTATGTTTCAAGAGACATAGTACTTCAATCGATTTACATTTAATAAAATGTATTAAAGAAGAAAAGAAAGAAGAAACTCTTAAATCAATAGAGAGAAAAAACACAGAGACAAGATTTTTTTTATTGAGTCTATAAATATGTAATAAACCGTAACCAAATTTAATCTATGAATAAGGCATTTGTATGTTTGTTATCATAAGATATTTTATGTACTTCTTACCGCGTACCTGTGTTACGATATTATAATGTCAGGAGTGCTATCGTGTGCAACATATGCGATGAGAGATGAACATGACAAGTATTCGATTGGTGCACACATCAATTTTACTCTTAACACGTAATGTGTCAATCAATCCCATTAACACTAGTCGGAAGGATTTTTTTGACCTTGATATGCAAGCTGCCACTAGCAGTAATAGTCTCGTATAACTTCATAGTTGTTTCTTTCCTTTTCATTCAATAGTATCTCTAATATAGATGTACAAGAAAGATCAGATATACACGACAACGTATCCTAGACGCAAGAAGATGGGTAGATAGAAGAACTCTCTGTCTGCTATGGTATACTATGTATATAGATAGTAGAAAAAAACGTGTCTATCATCAAATCTTTCTCTCTTACTATCCATTAAGATGATGACAGAATACCAAAATGACGTATATATACATATATCTGTATATATATATATGTATGCCGTAGGCATTTTTTTATCAATGAAAAGAGAAAGGTGCTGATGTGATGATTTTTTTTTCGAGAGCATCGAACACAATGCTGATGATCGATGGAACTAATTGAAAGGATCGAAGCTAATTTCCGGCTTCTGTTTTTTCTTTCTTCTCTTTTTGATTCACTAAGCTCGTGCTATATATGCAAATGATGATCTATTGCTTCCTATGCAACCAATCATCCAAATTATTATTCCTCATCTGACATTTGATTGTGAATGTAGATATGACGCACATATTGACATATTTAATATTATTAGCTTATTATTCACAGACAAGTTCAGCTTATTGGATGTGATATGATTATAATTGACAACAAAAATCTTATAGACCACTACCTATGTTTGTCTAATATTATAGACATCATAATAATCTATGTCAAATGTTATTTTCTTCAATATTGATAAACAAAAAACTAATCTATACACGAATAAATGATGAACATTGTTATTCATGAGATGTGATGTTTTTCTTTTTGTTTTAAAATATTCACGCATCAATAAAATACATATTATTCTAATCAAGAAATTATATTGTTCATTAATATTCATGAAACTCGAATATATAATAGAACAATTATTTCTTCGAAAGATAGCGACATCTATCGTTGTTTTTATTTTATGAAAATTCTATTTTAAAACAATAAATCTCTTTGTCAAAATTTATTTTTCTTTCATTTTTTTTTCAAGAGTTATTTAAATTTATTAGAAAAAAAAAGTCTAAAACAATGAATCATAATAGAACATCATGTGAAAGATCAAACTAACGTCGCAATGGTATTTGTACAGTTCTCATTTTTTTATGCTCTGTTGTTTTTGTTTGCTTATTCTAACGTATACATATGCATATGGATACGAAAAAAAAAGTCACATTACATATCTATTCATTTTTATTTTAGATAAGATCTAAAGTTTTTAAATGGCTGCTCTACGGAAAAAACTTGTTATTGTTGGTGATGGAGCTTGTGGTAAGTTACATAATACAAAAAAAATTTTTTTTTTTTCTTCTAGAAATACTTATATTTTATTTTCTAGGTAAAACTTGTTTGTTAATTGTCTTTAGTAAAGATCAATTTCCTGAAGTTTACGTCCCAACTGTATTTGAAAATTATGTTTCTGATATTGAAGTTGATGGTAAACAGGTTGAATTAGCTTTATGGGATACAGCTGGACAAGAAGATTATGATCGTTTACGTCCATTATCTTATCCGGATACAGATGTTATACTCATGTGCTTTGCTATTGATAGTCCGGACAGTCTTGAGAACATTCCCGAGGTAAAATAATGTTCTTTTTTTTTGTTTTTCTATATATAAAGTTTTTTTTGTTGATCTATAGAAATGGACACCGGAAGTAAAACATTTTTGTCCAAATGTTCCAATTGTACTTGTTGGAAATAAAAAAGATTTACGTAATGATGAAGCAACAAAAAAGGAATTAATGAAAATGAAACAAGAACCTGTACGTAGTGAAGAAGGACGTAATATGGCTGAAAAAATTGGTGCGGTTGGTTATCTTGAATGTTCAGCTAAGACAAAAGAAGGTGTACGTGAAGTATTTGAACATGCAGCACGAGCTGCATTAGCACGAAAGAAGAAACGTAAAGGTGGCTGTATTATGATCTGAGACAAGCAAAATTATTACTGCATGTGTGAAATTACTAGTCGAAATATTTAATAGAAACAAAAATAATAAAACAAACAATAAAATAAACTAAACATAATTCTATATCTTACAACATCTTGTTACCTAGTCGTGTGCGTGTGTTTCTAAGAACAAACTATAAACTAAACGTAATATTGGATTTTTCTTTTTTTTTTCTACTCATTATTCTACTATTACTTATCCTTTTTTTTGTCCCCCATGATTCTCTTATTGTATATTTCATTATTATTATTTCTTTTTTTTTTCTTTTTGAATACTCTGTATTGCTATTATTACTGTTGCTTCTCGGTTGAGAGTTGAATGAGTGTACGTTTTTGTATATTACGTTGATCCCTTCATCTTTTCGTTTTTCTTTTTTTTAAACAAAAAAATAAAACACACATATTTGAATCGACAAAAGTATTGAATTCCCTTCCTCGTGTTTTTTTCTTCTGATTTAATAATAATAAAAAGAAAGTAATTCAAAGTATATATTTGTCTTTGTGGAAAAAAACAAACTGTTTGTGTTGTCTAATAAAGTTGAGTTTTACGACGAGCAACAACTCGTGAATCACGTGCTGCTCTTGCTACTGAAATTTTAATTGATTTTTTCAAAATTTCCGTATGTTGTTTTAAAGATAGATGATCATTTGATACAAATGATTCATTTTGTTCGAATAAATGACGACTAGGATCGAGTTTGGATAAATATCGTAATTGAAATGTTTGAAAAACATTAGATGATTTTGTTGGATTTGTTATATCATATTTTTCATCTGGAAAAAAACTACTTTTTTCCCATTCTATTGATGCATTGTGATTATGAAGAAGAAGGCTTGGAGTATCTGATACTGATACATCACTTTCATCACTAATATCAGATTCAATGACTGATGATGTACTATCTTGTCGATTACCTAAATAAATTTTATCATGTTATAAATTTAAAAAAAGAATTTTTGCTTATGAGTAGACAGGAATTTCAAACTATAAATATTTTCACCCGAAAACCTACCATATAAAAGTAGGACAATTTTACTAGACTTTAATCAAAGGACAAAGTATTGGTAGGAAAATTGACTTCTGAACTTTTTGACCTGACATTTTAATATATCTCATGATCTTAGGAATATATTAATCGTTTCAGTTGAAAAATATTGGCTCTGTCGCGAAATCTTGACTATTCGCAGACTGTCGATTTTTCTAATCTTTTAAAAAATTGAATATCTCAAGAAGAAAATAACTATTTCGACTGAAATTTTTACAATATTCTTAAGTTCATAAGATCTACTTATAAAACAAAATTTCAGGTAAAATTTTATCTGTTCAACTTTCCTATCGATGCTTCGTCCTACGTAAAAACTTCAGTAAATCTATCGTAATCCACTAGAGAGTACTTATCTATTGGAATCTTTTTCGAATTATTTTACGTTCGAAATACTCCTCTATCTGTAGAAAATATGAGTCAAAAAGTAATGAATCTCTCGTTAGCGATTTCTTCTTTTTTTTCTCTACCAATAGAATTTAATATTTAATTTGAAATAATTTGTGCTCTAAGGGATTATATTAACGGATATCGTGCCCAACAAAACGGAAGATTTTGTCGTTAAAGTTCGCTTCAATGCATTTATGAATCATTACATACAAAAAATGAATACATTGATTCTATATGAACGATCATTAAATCTGATGATGAATTTTACATAACTATCTCGGAGGAGATTGAACGACATAGAACATAAAATTATATTAACTAAGATTATTGTCTGATGTGCTACTACTCAATGTATTTTTTTCCTATACTCGTTCGAGTGTATTAGAGCATTAATACATGTTATGAATAAGATAACAACGTTGTCTTTCATCTTGTTAAAAAGAAAAAAAACGGAATTCATCTTGACCAGAGATTAATAAAAAAAAAAACAAAAAGAAGAAAATGAATGAAAATTTACATACGTCGATTAAATTTTTTGAAAAGTTGTCTTTGTCCACTTTCATGTCGTAATTCATGTAATTTCATTTTAGCATCATGTTGATCAAAAGCTAATCGAGAAAGTGCTTCATTTTCTTGAAATTTTAATTGTCGAAGTTTAACTTGTAGTTTAATTAATTCTTGCTGATTTTTATATCGTGCACGTGTTTGAGAATCTAATATTTTCAATGGTCGTACAGGTGTTACACGAGAACGATTGTTGCCCATCTTACTATTCAAATTTTTTGAATAAAATTTTAAATGAATATTTTTTTTCAAAAAATTCATTTGACGACACACAATCATTTATAAAAACATGTATGCAAAAAAAAAGTAACTTTGAAATGCTTCCCTGTCAATACTTTTACTTATCTTGCCTTGTCATGTGTTCTTTGTAAAAAGAAAAACTCGTCTCGATTAAAATGTAAGCTTAATTGCTTAATAGCTTCTCAAAATGTAAAATCTAACTGTTATAAATATAACAATAGATTTCTTTTTTCTATTCGATTTAATGTAAATAATAGACGCGTTACGCCTAGCAATCGTTAAATTCAATTGATTGTTTTCGACGGACAGCAAAAATGTTTTTTCTTTTTTAAGAATCACATAAAATTATTTTTGTTAATGTGATAATGCTTTCATTAGTCTTATTTATTATTTAACTCTAACAGATGTTCTAGAAGACATTGTACTAAATTTCAGTACATTTTTTTCCTGATTTCTTAATTACATGAAAAAAAAATTTTCTATGAAGTCTAAAGATAGAACATTTTAAAATCTACAAAATTATTGACATTGTTTCTACAACAGCTTTCTTTTGTCAGTGAAAAATTTCGAAGAAGGAGAAAATCTACTTAATCGTCAAGGTGCGACGGTCAAAAAACAAAAAGAAAAAAAGAAAACTTATGACAATTTTTTAATAAAAGTCGCAGTGAATCTTTAACTATCTTACGAAATTCTCCTCACACATTCTACATCTCTGAATGCATGTTTCGGAACTTTAGAAGTAACAGTCTCGAAGTAAAAAACTCGGAAGCGAAAGAAAAAGTTCCTTTTTCTAGTAGATCTATGTCATAGTTGTTTTCTAATTGAAAATAATCGAAATATTTTCACAGTTCAATTTCATATTTATATCGTTTTGTTCAAAATTAAATTCTACATCCGATAGCATAATATTAAATCTTTCATAGAACAAATCTGGTTTTGAAAATATGATTTTCTAAAGCACGCTCAAAAATACCGACAGTTGGTCAGCTCCTCGTAAACACCAGTCTAGGGAACCTTGAAAAGGTCGTTGACGTTTAGGTGACAAAAAATTCTATCTATTGATATTAAGTAATATGCTTTTGGACATCGGTCTCGATGAGAAAAGGCTTTACACAAATCAATACTTATCAACAAAAAGTAGAAAATCGCAGTGAAATGACTAAGTAGACGTAAATCTTTTTGGCATTGACAAGGTTAAATTTGTTTGAAAAACAAAATTGATAATTCTATGCAACCTGAAATTCTATATCTTTTGGCATATAGAGGAAGTTTCTTACGCTTAGAACATAAGAGAAAAAGGCACCAAGACTTAATGCAATTTATTCTGGATCACCGACTAGTAGATTTATATTTGGAACTATTTGTAAAACCATTTTTTTTTCTTCAATAAAAAATCTAACATATTGTATTATATTCGTATATTAAGATTCTATTTGATAGACGATAATATGAACTATCACTTCAGTCCGACGACAACCTCGCCCATACTCTGCAGTGTTCCCTACTCTTATTAATAAGGCCAATTAGTTAAGGATATCATTGGCCTAAATGACAACCAAAGTATTGTGTACCAAAGAAAATAATACATAAATTACAGGATAGGTCATAAATAGCACTATAATAAAAAATTGAATTATCTTCACTTCGATTCGCTCGAATAGGCTGATATTTTCGTTCATGGTAGGAAGTTATTTAAAGTCTTTTTTCCATACGAATAAGATAAACAAATACAACTGTTAAGTTTTATTTTTTGCCTTACTAAAGAAATTTCATCTATTGTCAAGTAAGAAAAATACATATGAAAGCATTTCATAAATAGTTTTCAGTTGTCATCTAAGAGAATAAGAAGAAATCAAAACAAATTATATTGATGGACACAGACTAAGTTTTCAAAACTAGTCAGTTTAGATGCTGAAATTCGTGCTTCATAAGTAAAACGTACCATTGCAGTCATATGGACACGAATTTCCTTACAAATTTTGATCATATATTAATCTATTTGATCTCTGAAAATAAAGTTCTGAAGATAAATGAGATGCGTGTATCGTGTAGCAGCTAATGCCTTAAGGAAACGATATTATAAAATGGACATTCACGAAAATGGTTTTGTTTTACGTATCTACTCTCTAAACTTTACTCGTTCAAACAACTTTAGTAAAAGAAAAAATAACAAATACGTATCTACAAAAATTAGTCAAATTCATTTAGGATTCATTAAATTGTAATTCAATTATCACAATTAGTATTCTCTTTGTAGTTATAGCGTTCGAAAGGACTATGATTCAGATTATCTCGCAATGTAGTATTATTATTATTATCTTCTCCTCGTGAATGTTTTTTGTTTTTTTCAGTTGTTTGATTGATGAAGGAAATAATTCTTGTAATTTAACATTGATAGATTTCGACGTATAATTGATTTATTCTACTAAAATATATCTCCAATAATAATTTTATTTTTAATTTAAGGCTATCTTCACATTGCGCAAAGTGTGACGTTGTCAGAAGCTAGTATTTGATAATGATAGTTTTTCTGAAACACAAAAAAAAAATGAAATCGTAATAGTAATTCTGAAAGTATTACGAGATTCGAGAAAAGTCGTCCCTGTAGGACACTAGTGAAAGTATCCAAGAAGAGATAATGAAAACTCACTACTCGAAAAACAAAATTGATAATCAAAAATACTTCTATCATATCCATGTGAAATTTTATTTCATGGCATGAAACTACAAAAACACAAAGTTAATAGAAAAGATCTTGTTTGATCTTTTTAGAATTTGTAAAATCATAATTTCAATACAATAAGCAATGCAAAGATCCTTGGAAAAATATCAAACTCTATTACATCATATTGCAAATTTCTAAACCAATAGATTTTTATTGTTGAAAAGAGTAATGTCTGGACTACAAATTTTGTATCAGATATATTTTTTCAGAATAAATCTAAGAAGGAGGAATAGTCAAAAACCAAACATCTCTAAAAAAAATTCTGACAACGTTTTTGCAACTTGAAAAGTTTCTATTTCTCAATTATGTTGAACTATATGAACCAAATTCTAATAAAAAAATTCATGCAAATGTAGCGTATCAAAAACTCCATCGATGTTAGCTTTTGTAAAATTTTAAAATTCGTTCTTGACTCTTTATTGAAAAAAAAAAAAATTTGGAAACTGAAATTTTTTGTAAAATAGAGTTTTGCAAGAACGATCAGTTTGAAAGGACATCAGCCATACATAGCAGAAAAAAATAATTCGGCGATACTTTTTCGTTGCAAAACAGTGAGGTAGTAAGAGCGATCAAATTATTTTGTTACAAAAATCAAGAGTAAATTTAACTTCCTATATACCATTGAAAAGAGAACTATTTACTCTACAAAAAATTATCATTAAACGTGTTTTTTATTTCACTTCTGATTTAAAAAATTTAACGGAAAACAAAAAAAGTATATTGTGTAATGATGAAGTTGCAAGAACTTTTTTTGGTGTTTCCTCTTTCTAAGAAAAAAAAAAGTTTTATTGTTTTAGAAATTGGCAATACGATGTAATAGAGTTTAATATTTTACCAAAGAGTTTTGGATCGCGTATTAGACTAAATTCTATCGTTGAGAAACACGGTTGTGTTGTGTTGCTATTATTCAACGTAATGTAAGAAAAAAAGTTAACTAATGTCTTAATTAACATAGGAAAAACTCCTTAATGTTGAAAAACTAAAGAACAACATATAAATTTTAAGAAGTTCATGTACCAAACATACATCGAAGAATTCATAGAAAGAAAAAAGAATCAAGAGTTAGCATTATAGTTTTATATGAACTGATTTGAGAAAAAGAAATATTCAGTTCTTATTTTTATATGACTAATTATTTGAGAGGTCTTATCTAATAACAAGTCTTTTTTGTGCGCCAAATCTTCATCTAATTTAAACAAGCATCTGTATGTTCTCTTTTTTTTTACAATGTTACAACTACTATTTATTATTAGTAAGTAGTTGATCACTAACTTTGTTAAATAAATATTTCCATACTGTTGAAATTATATAGTTTTTGAATACAATAATATATGATTAAGAATATATATAATAATTATATTTGAAATATTAGAACATACATTACTAATATATATTTGTAAGTCAAAATATTGTACTTGACACTAAAATATGACATTATGAATAATGTTCTTCTATTAATATTTATTATATTTTCCATTGAAAACAAAAATAGGAAAAGAATAAAAATGATCTACTCTGCATTTTTTATGTTGATCTATTTTTAGTAAGATAAGAAAAGTATTTCTTATAAGTTAATTTATTGAGAATGTGATGTTAATTACATATAAGAGTACTTCTTCATTTCTGCGAAATGGATAATTTTATTTTTTATAGTCTTGTTCAATATTCATACATTTTCTACGTTCGAATGCTATTATTGTAATGATGAACAAGGTTATTATTGTCCTCAACCATTTCCAACAAAATTTATGTTTAAAAATCATGAACAATACAATGAACAAATAAAAAATGTAGCCATCAGTTCGAGTAATAATCCATTAAGAGAACCAATTGTTAGTTGCTACGTGCGTAAGATAATTGTTTTTCAATTTTTTTTTAAGGATTTATATATTTCTTATCATAGAAAACTAATTATTATAACAATAATCTTGAATATAAAAATACATATCGAGGTTCAATAAAAGGTTCGATGAATGATTCTATAACATGTGACTCAAATTATCGATTATCACAAAATCCAAATTATCCCGGTTGGGAAAAAACATATTGTTGTTATCAGAATCGATGTAATCTATCACGAACTATTTTCAAAGATAGTAATACAATTATTTTATTATATATTATTTCAACACTACTCATTGATCCTTGAATTAGTTGTGTTAATTACGTTATCTTTTGTTTTATTATATTGTTATTAAATATAAATTAATATAAGCAACATTTTATGAGAATAAAATACTTAGAAAAAAAAAAACTAAATTAATATTTTAATATTCAATGGAACAATGTTGTATTAATAATATATATCCTACAGCTAATTTTACAATGAATAACATATAATCTATTTAAATTCCTTTTCAAAATAAAACAGAATAATATTTTCTTTGTAATTAAAAAGAGAGAACTGAGAACCATGAATATAGATAATTATTAATGCGGCTTTGAATAATCACTAATAGATTCAATTGTTATATCATGTTTTTAAATCTGTTCTTTTTTTTCTATTTTCTTAAATTTAATTAGCCATATAATAAAAGGATATCGGAGTAAATCTTTATTTATACCCTTCAAACTTATTGTACTGTCACGCATTAAGGGCAAACAAGAATGCACGAAGATGATGAAGTGATTGTCAGGAAAATATTTGCCTAAAAATATAGTTTGTCATTGGTGAATATTAATGATATTATCGAAAATTACAAAAAAGAAACATTACTCAAGTTCATATAATAAAGCTTTGGATATTCCTGTAGACATCTGTTCAAGAAATGAATTATTTATCATATGATTAGAAAAAATTGTCTTGTAGTGATTGTCACTGTTGTTGTTGTTCTTTTTTAAATATTCTATTATTATTTAGTTTTGTCGAAGCATCAGATGCAAATGAATGCCATTTATTTGTCTTGTTCTATGTTTCTAAATTGATCATATCTCCGAACTTAAAATCATCTATATTTAATGAGTCCATAGACACAAACATTGAGGCATCATATCTATCTATCTATCTATTCGACAGATTTTTTTTTCTCTTTTCATATTAATATAAAATATGTCGTACTTTACGATACAATATATAAGACATAAAACTAAGAGACGAGTTACTCGTTGTGATTCATTCTTTCAAGTAAATTACTTGTCATACATATTGAATGCGTGATTTGATTTTAGATTTCCTCATGTACGGTTAATTTTTCTGTATGGACATGAGTAATTACTATTATTTTAGTTTAATTCAATCTTTGAGCTTAAGACAATAAGATCTTAAATTAAACTATTTCGTCTCGATTTAGCTTGATCGTGGTCAAAATCTTTGAATAGAATGTATTTTTAATCTTAACAACATACGCAAAGAATACAAGCATGCATATATCCCTGGAGATAGACTAACGGCTCATCTTCCTAGTCAAGTCTCCAACACTATCGCAAGCACACATATAAATATGATGTATTTTAGTTTAGTATGTAAGATGGTAATCATTTCATTGCTTACAGCATTCGAAACTCGAGCTGCTACTATTTTTTTTTTTGATCATTATTTATAATATTCTACCGTCGATTCGGATTTAATTAGTTCTCTTTTTTTAATGCTTTTGATACAGAAAAAGAAAGAAGAAAAAAATGTCATATTGTTATGTGCACACTAATCTGTAGGACAAAAAAACAAGCATGATTAGTGCAAGAAAATACATTGGATAGCTCATCAATTTATTAGCTTTTACTTTTGTTTTTGTTCATATTTGTAAACAATCCATTGGATTAGTAGGAGGCTATTTCAATAGATTACTAATTTGACAGTACGAAATGGATGAATGCACATCAGTTAGATGACTCGAAGATTTGATCATGCGTATTATAATCAATGAATAGGATCAGAATTATAAAACAAAATATGTCAATCTTTACTGTTTAGTTCATGTCTTTTTTTTTTCTTTATAGTATTATAATATTCACTTGAGCAATTCCTTAGCTTTTTTTATAATTATTAGTTTGTAATAACATTAGAAAAATTTGTTTGAATTTTGAAAATTAATCATTTCTTTATTGTTTTTATTAATATGAAAATAGAATTTTATTTCTTTTAATTTGGTAAATTATTAATAACATCTTTACAATTAATTTTATCTTTTGGGTAAATAACTTAATTTTCGTTTTGTTTATATATATATATATATATATATATATGTCGACTATTATGGATAGTGTGTCGTTGATAGTTTTTCTTTGTCTACGCAGTAACAAAACATAAAAGAAAACGACGAAGAGAAAGACGAGAATGACAACTATAGTAAAGAAGAAAGTCTAATAGTCTTATCAGAAAACTAGAAGTAGAGAAGAAGAAAGAAAAATATTAGTGTTGATGTGTATTTAACAGAGTATTGCGAAGAAAAATGTCATCATACTTTTATTGATAAAATCTATTCTTCATCTTCTTTTTTTTTTTTTAGAAATTCGAACGTGTTTACTTTCACTTGATTGAGCTTTTATAACCGAAGAAAAAAAGTAGGAAACGACGTAAATAAAATGTCATTCAATGTTATATATCATTGTTTAATATTAAACGATCATTATTAATAAAAACAAAAAGAAAGAAGAAGTAAAAATGGATCAATATAATATGTCATTGACTTCAACGTTTTCAACTCTTCTTCTTCTTACAAATCAATCTTTAAATGGAACATTAGCATCATCATCATCATCATCATCATCATCATCGGCGTCATCGTCATCATCAATGGGTAGAAATACCCTTATGCGTTATTCTCAAGTTGTTTATGTCGCCGCATTAGTAATTCTTGGTGTTTCTGGAAATATAATATGTGCCATTGTCTTTTGTACTAAGTCATTAAGGTAAATACGAACAAAAGGAGAGATAATTATTCAATTAGATAAATGAATCTGCCAACTTACCGAATGATTCTTTTGTTCTCTATGACATTAAACTCTTTTTTTCTTTCCGATTCTTTTTTCATAATGCAAAAAAAAAACAAGAAAGGTTTGAAATAAAATAAATATTTTTAGACGTATTCGTTCATCAGCATATCTATTTATTTTGGCATTAATTGATGCTTTTTTTATTCTTGATCTTTTACCTGGTATGGTTCATACAGCATTTTTTAATGATCTATATCGTAAAGTTCATTTTATTTGTTATATTCAAACATATATATCATTTGTTGCTTCATTTTTACACATATGGATGGTGCTTGTATTTACAGCTGAACGATTTTTTGCTGTAAATTTTCCATTAAAACATATGTCACAATGTACACCAAATTTATCTCGTATAGTGATATTAATAATAATTGTACCTGCATTTATATGTTATATTCATCCAGCATTTTTTGTATCTGAAGTTGATACTAAAGGACAATGTCGAGAAAAAGGTGGTTATGAACGTTATTTAACTAATCTTAATATGATCGATACAATAATGACAATGTTTTTACCATTTATTCTTGTTTCAATATTAAATATACTTATTATAAGAAAATTATTTTGTTCAAAAGAATTTCGTCAACATGCTTTTGCTAATGGTTCACGTTATCAATGTCGACGTACATCAAATGGAAAAAAACTTAATTCAAAACCAATAAAACGTATTTCAGCATCATTATCGCCAATAACAAGTCTTCCACAATCAAATCCAATATTATCATATCGTTCACAACGTATTATTCGTCCATTTCGTTTAACAAGAAAACAGCAAACATTATGTTTATATCGAACATTTACTAATACTGAATCATCACAAACAAATATAAATCATAATGATACAAATAATAATCCATTAAATGAACAACATCAACAATCAATAAAATTAAAATCAACTTTTAAAAAAAATCAAACACCATCATCAAAACGTCATGAATCAGCACAACGACATGTATTAACTGAATTACGTTTAACAAAAATGCTTTTAGCTATATCATTAACATGTCTTTCGTTAAATTTTCCATCATATTATCTTCGTTTTATGTTTTTATACGAAAATTCACAAGAAAGTTCGTCATCAAATAAAACTACTACTACTACTACAGCACCTGAAAGTGATTTTGCTTTTTATCGGGGTGTCATTTTTCATTATATGTCGTATTTAAGTTATGCAATTAATATTTTTATTTATTTATTATTTGGTGGAAATTTTCGTCGTGCTTTAAGGCGTCTATTTTCATTTACACCGTCACATTCAGAAAGTTTCAATACAACTTCACGTAAAAAAATGTTATTAAATAATGAAAAACAATATGGAAATATGTCTGATTATGATTCAATAGCAATGACATCAACATCATTCAATGAGTCTATACGTGATTATTCCAAAAGCTTTAAAATACGAGAACAACCTAGTTTATGTCGTTCATTACAGCAACAACAACCAATTTTTATAAGTTAGCAGAATCTAACATAATAATCAAGAAATGTAATCATTGATGAAGAAAACAAACAAACAAACTTTATTTCAGAAAACTTCCGGTGATTATTTATTGCATTTTTTTTCGTGTTCATTATAACATAAGAAGCCTTTTTTTTCCAAAAATAAGATATAACAAAACAAATGAATTTATTCTAATTTCTCGTGTTTTAAAATAATGATAATTGTAAATCATATTTTTCTGTATATGATGTCACGAAATATCAGCAGAATTAATTGCCTACTTCATGATCAATGTTAACCGATTAAGATCGACATGCATGCACATCCACACAGACCATCTATTTGTTCTTTAATTGTAAAATCTCAGTAAAACTGTTCACAGGTAAGAAAATGCAAAAAGAAAAAAGAAAAAAAAAACAAAACTCAAGATACAATCTGTATCATAAAAACAATTTTTTGGACGGATTTTAAGAAAAAAAAAAAAACAAAATTCAATAAAAAGTCAAAAAGAAAAAACAAAACAAACAGATAAGATTATATATCATACTAGTCTACATTATAGTCAGAAACAAAAATAAACAAATACGTTAACCTTCGCAGAATCATATGGCCTAGAAAAATTGCCTATTTATATAAGTATACAAGACAAAAAAAAAGAAAAAAACAAACGAAAATTTGTTCTTTAAAATACACTAAAACATATTTTCTTTCAAATGAATTAATGAAATGTGTTATTCCAAGAACATACACAAGTCTATCAAAAACAAGAAAAG